ATTTATAGAGGATGAGGGAGAAGGGGTAGGGAAAAAGAAAAAGGGGAAAGGAGTATTTCCATGGAAAGGAACAAAGTAGTGCCTCTGGATAGAGAGGAGACATAGTCCATAGGACAATGGTGATTTATAAAGGAAAAATGAGAAACCCATGTTAGAATAAAGTATTTAATTTTAATTGGGTATGTAAATTAGGTGAGCCAAAGGAGTCTTTGTTTGCTGGATTTCAATACTTTCATAGCTGTACCTTGGTAATCAGCCTCATGAGTATGAAGTGTCCAAATAAGGAAATAGACCTTGGAGGCTAACTTTAGAAATGTAATTAACAGATTTTAGCGAGGCAGAGGGAATCCAGGAAAAGGTTAAAGCCTGGCCTATCCATGTTTGCCAGGCCCACCCAGACTGGTGAGAGTCCCTTCACTTTCAATGTCAACTTCAACTCTAACATATACCACCTGTCTTTAATTCCTTGTCTCCTCATGCAAATTCTGAACTTGAAAGAGATCATTAGCTTCTCTTTACCAGGCTGCTTATTTAATATTTTTCCTGGACATATTTCCCTGGATCTGTTTGGCAGTTCTGTCATGTGCTGCAGGTTAAAATGCCTTCATCTTGGATTGATAGTTGTTAACAGAGACATAAATGAAAAGTAAAAACAACAAATTATTTTAAGACAGCATGTTTATGAGGAGGTGAAGCAAAACAATGTTTCAAGCGGGGGCAGGTATGAAACACCCCATCCTACAAGGAAGCACCATTATGACAAGAAGTAAACAACTCAAAGTAGAGACTAGATTTCTCTGAAACTCACAGGATACTCTAGGACCCTCATACTCCAGGAGCCTAATGGCAGGAAAGACTGTTGGGTGACTTTTTGATGAGCCAAACTGAAAAGATGCCTCGACAAACCCTACTGAAAGGAGCAGCCTAGAAGAGCACAGATAAACTGAACTGCCTAGAAAAAAAAACCTCATACCAACTAAACTACTTGGAAATGACACTCTCCAATCTGAACCCCTGCAGATTGTATAGTGGGCTCCAGACTTCCAGCTTTGATGAACTATCACCTATGCTGGGGTGAGCTTTATGGATGCAGTTGTCTTTGAGTCATTTCCTTTCAAGCAAATAACTTCTCATCCATATTCCTCATAAATACGCAATAAAACTCATTGGTTCACCAAATTGGACTTTGGTGGTATCCATACTTTGATATTTTGTGGGTTCCTTATTGAGGGTGGGTAGATGCATGTTTGTGCTGTGTCTCCAAGAAAAAGTATGTGAGACAACAGATGCTAATGTTTGATGTATGTAGCCTGCACCCTAAAGCTTTGAGAGCAAGCAGCACACACTGATGAACACAGACTGTCATTTTCACTATTTGTAATACATACCAAGGATTCTGCAAGAAGATATTTTACAAGATTTAAAACAAAGAGTAAACAAGTCTTAAAGCACGACTGAAGATTCTATAGGATGGATGAGGAAAACAATATCATTCCAGTCTCCTTTCTTCATATCTACGTATAACTACCCTATAAATGTCTATACTCTGAAAGGCTACTCTGAGTGGCCAAAAGTAGTGAAATATGGTCAACAAGTGTGTGTGTGTGTGTGTGTGTGTGTGTGTGTGTGTGTGTGTGTGTGTGTGTGTGTATACATGTGCTTTGGGACAACAAGACTAAGTAAGTGATCTTAAGCATAGACCATGTTATTTATTATATAATGTAGTTCAGTAATACACTTGGTTTCCTGACATTCATTTGGGCCATGTTAGAGCTTAGTGGTTGGTATATTGACGGATCATCTGCTTAGAAAACATATGGGCTTCAAATCTCACCAACTAATTAACACTTGCCCTGCAATACTCTTCTCAGTTTCAGAAACCTCCAGCCTCATGCCTCCTCTGAGTACTCTGGAAGAACTGACAATCAAATTACACCTGAGCTTTCTTGTTCTATCTTGCATGATTATAAGATGTGACTCTCACATTGACCCTTAAGCATGACTTGGTCATACATCTGGCAAATGCCCCTGACATTTACCTTTCTTTGTCTAATATGTGTGGGGATTTATGTAAATCAGACACTATGAGATATTCATCTGGAGTCATTTAATCTTTGCAAGCATGGTTTACACTAGCTGTTTTCATCTAACTATAGAGTGAGATAAAGTTTTGAAAAGACAATATTATATCAAGGTTAACTCAAAAACTTAAGTGAAAAGGAAATAAACACTTAAATCAAATTGTTATTTTTAGACAATAACATTTATAGAATAACTAGCACTGAGGCTGTTTCTACAGTTGTTAAATTCTTCATGGGATGAGACTATATGTGAAATCAAGTTTTCAAGCACATTTGTCTGCTGATATATACAGAATCTATCAGCTTTCATCAATATTAAAGAAAAGTAAGTCAATGCTGTGTGCATGTATATGTCAGTAGTTGGATGCAGTAGTGTTTGTATGTGGGTATGTGGATGTTTTGCCCAGGTACAGGCTGCTTTGCCTAATACAAAGAGACTCAGAGAAACTACTAGGCAATGATTGGCTATCATTGAATTTTTGCTTTTGCCTGGAGCAATATCCAATTCTACAAGCAGACAGTGTGATTGACTAACTCTTTCATTCCTTCTGATCATTTATTTAAGATATTTGACACAGCATTGCCACTATTAATGTCGATGGCTAATAATACGTATTCTTGTTGTCAATATCTGACCCTGCCAAGAAAAAAATCCCTAAATTATTGTTCCTCCTTAAATGGTGGTATAAGTTACAAAGAATATGCCATGTTCTACTTTTAAATATTCTATCCTTTTATGTTATTTCAACTGAAGGAAGACCTAACAGCATGCCTTTTATTGCCAATTTTAATTATTTTTAAATTTTTATTTGGGTTTCATTACGACATTTTCACACATATGTACATCATTATATTTTTGTCTTATTTCCTCCAACCATCTCTTGCTGATTTCTTCTGCTTTGAATATCCTTCATGTTTGTTTGCATGTTACATCTATTTTATTAAAGAAGATGATCACTTTTTATTAAAAAACTCTAAAATTGTTTTAAATAATAAACTTTGATATCTTTGACAAACTCTCAATATTCCCAATCACATGATCTATAAATATTCAGGTCTCTAATCTCTAACATGGGCACAATGATGAGAAGAAAGCAAACATATGTCTTAGATATATCACATAATCAAAACATGGTCTAGAGTTGCTATTCTTTTAGCTTATCTGAACATGGGCCATATTAGGATTCCTTACTCCTTGTTAGCCCAAACAATTCATGAACACAGGAAAACAAAAAAAATTGCTTTCTCTCTCTCTCTCTCTCTCTCTCTCTCTCTCTCTCTCTCTCATAAACACACACACAATAAATTAATAAATTCAAGCACATACAGGCATATTCATATATCCAAGCATGGACATACACAGAGAGACTTGTGGTTATTCTTGCTGCTGGAAAACTAAGTAGCTTAAATTTTCTTGTAAGTCAGACTAAACTCTAAATCAGATTTTTTTTAAGACCATGAATTCAGATATGCTTCCTTTGAGTGTCATGTGGTATTAGAGTAACCTCCTGTGTGTATGTGCGCGCGCGCGCGTGTGTGTGTGTGTGTGGGTGTGTGTGTGTATGTGTGTGTGTGTGTGTGTGTATGTGTTCCAATGCTCAACTGAGAATGTACACAAGAGAGCTTCCAGTCACCTTTTTATAATGTCACTTGCCAGTGATGAATGTCATTGCTTGCTTTTTTATTTGGATTGGATTCTTGGTAGTGGTTTATGGCTGCATGAGTGAGTCTATCAGTGTCCAAGAAGATATTTTAGGGTTTTCCATGAAATCAACTTGGAAGTCACATAATGTTACTTCATCCTTACCAAATCCTTACCAAATAGATTTTAGGGCATAGACCTCACTTCTTTTTTTTTTTTTTCTCAAGACAGGGTTTCTCTGTGTAGCTTTGGAGCCTATCCTGGCACTCACTCTGGAGACCAGGCTGGCCTTGACACCA